TTTGAACTATTTTTGCATAGACTAAAGTACAAAGCAGTGAAAATCATTAACAGGCAATCGTTTGATCGGCTGAATTGCAAAAAACGCATGATCGCACCGGCTAGCCTGGTGCGCGTTGCCATTTATTTGATTTTAGCGCTCTTGGTTGGTAAAGAAAAGAGAGCGGGTTTTCTGCAACACTGTTGTTGTTTCAGGAATCTGCAAAATTTACTCATTTTGACAGCAATCAAGGCAGATCGTTCACGAGTTATGGAGTACATCCAGAAGCTGGACAATTACGATGCACCGGATATTGCGAATATTGCTATTTCCAACCAGCTGCATGAGGAAGCATTTGCCATCTATAAAAAATTTGATGTCAACACAGCGGCTGTTAATGTTAGTTCTTTTTTGTTTATTGGCCAAAAAGTCAATAAGCTTGCCTATAAAAGCAAAAATTTTTTTTTGAAGGGCTTTTAAAAGTTAATTATGCATATGATCTTATGATATTTGAAAGAGGCGAAGATAAAAAATAAAAAGTTTTTACTTTCTAATATGTTGAGTTAATTTTTCTCCAATATGTTTCATTGATCAGGCGAAGTATACTACGCGTTGTTTAGGACAGCTCAAAAAAGCGAAAAATAAAAATCAAATAAAGCTTTTTAAACGTTCCATTTCATTGGTATTTTTGCTTGCTGTGAGTGTTACAATTTTTTTCATTTCAGGTTCTGATTGATAATGTTTCGAATTTGGACCGCGCTTACGAATTTGCTGAACGGTGCAATGAGGCTGGTGTTTGGGCTTCACTTGCCAAAGCACAGTTGAAGGAAGGTCTAGTGAAAGAAGCGGTGGATTCGTTTATCAAAGCTGATGATCCAACTGCATATATGGAAGTTGTCAGCAAATGCTCCGAAACTGGTCTGTATTGCACTTATACTTCTCTGCTTTCTAATTGCATCGATTTCGTCCTCAGAAAGTTGAGGGCGTTGGTATTGGTTGTTCTTCTAAAACTCTTTGTTGCGTGTATTAGTCGTCCAAACAAGCAACTGTAATGAGCAGTGCATGCTTTTTTATACTGGTTTTTCTCCTAGGCTCACTTCTGTGAATGGATTTGTTTAGGAAGTTGGGAGGATTTGGTTCGTTATTTGCAAATGGCACGGAAGAAATCCCGAGAGTCGTACATCGAAACAGAGCTTGTATATGCTTACGCGAAAACCGGTCGTCTCACCGACCTGGAAGAATTCATTGCTGGACCGAATCATGCACAGATTCAGCAGATTGGCGACCGTTGCTTCGAAAATGGAATGTTTGAAGCGGCCAAAATCCTTTATAATAACATATCAAATTTCGCCAAACTCTCTGTGACGCTTGTGCGGCTTAATGAATTCCAAGGCGCTGTTGATGCGGCTCGTAAAGCGAACTCAACGAAAACGTGGAAGCAGGTATATCCGGCGTAATTTCTTCTAGTCTGCCGTTTTTAAATTTCTTTGCATATGACTTGAAAAACTGAAAAGGGATTAAAGCAAGCAATGACAGACCGGATTCATATGGAAAGCATACTTATTGCATTGAGTTGTGTTTGCTGAAATTGTTATTTTTATGCGTTTTGTAGGTGAACTGTTATTTTAGGTGTGTTTCGCTTGTGTCGACAATGAAGAGTTCCGTTTGGCGCAGATGTGTGGTCTTCATATTGTGGTACATGCTGACGAGCTCGAAGAATTAATCAATTACTATCAGGTTTGCTTTGCCTCACATGGCCCATTTTTACCTATACAGGGTAATGCCATTATAGTTTATAGTACTGTAATTTTCGAAAGAACGTTTTGTTGGCATTTGTTTTTTGAATGTAACTGATTTGTTTTTGAGGAACGAGGATACTTTGAAGAACTGATTGGATTATTGGAAGCAGCTTTGGGCTTGGAAAGAGCCCATATGGGAATGTTCACGGAGCTGGCGATTCTCTACAGTAAATACAAACCGGAGAAGATGCGCGAGCATCTTGAACTGTTTTGGAGTCGAGTGAACATTCCCAAGGTAATTTCTCTCTTCAGTTTTACAGTCTAATTCAAAGTATTTAAAGCAGATTTCCCCTTATTTCTTGGAGTTTATTCTAGGTGCTGCGTGCGGCGGAGCAAGCGCATTTGTGGTCAGAGCTTGTCTTTCTCTATGACAAGTACGAGGAATACGATAATGCTGCTCAGACAATGATGCAGCATCCGGCTGAAGCCTGGCGCGAACAGCACTTCAAGGAAGTCATTACTAAGGTATCCGATTCATTCCTACTTGACTTGCGCGCTTCTGTTTTGCAGTGACTCATTTTTCCAGAACAAAAAAGCACGAGCATTCTTCATGTTATGTGTTACAAGTCTAGTGATTGTGTGAGTTTTTGTAGGTTGCGAATATCGAGCTATACTATAAAGCAATGCAGTTCTATTTGGATTATAAACCAATGCTATTGAACGATCTGCTTATCGTGCTCACACCGCGTCTTGACCATTCGCGAACTGTCGCCTACTTCGCCAAATGTTTGTTTCCTGTTCCATGCTGTCTTTTATGTCTCTCATCCTCCTTTGCAAAAATCCGTGAATTATTTTTTTTCGATTAAAAATGATCATTTTGTAGTTGGTTGGCGATTCAGGTGTGGGCAGGATCACTAATCTATATATGTACAAATATATATATGTGTATACATACACATACATATATGTGCCTCCTTATCATAAAAACATCTGTCCTGTATTTTTATTGCTCCTCTTCCCCGAGGTAACAGAACAGGATGGAACTGATTGATAAAAGTGCTACGAAAAAGAAGCTGATTAAAAGGTAGTCATGTGTAGACGAGGACGAACAGAGTTCCTTAATTTTTCTACCCTTCGCAATCTGGAAGACTATTCTGCACATGTAGAGAGGACCTTTGGTCTCTGGGTTGGAATGGAATCATGGAATCAACTTTTGGCAAGGGATACTGATCAAAGAATGTGTTTATTTTAGGTGGCAGAAATTTTCATTCAGTTACTTTTTATGCGTTTTTCGCAGCTATGCAATGCAGAAAACGCATATTGACGAGAGATTGTCTGTGAGTGTGTTTGTGTGTGTGTGTGTGTGTGTGTGTGTGTGTGTGTGTGTGTGTGTGTGTGTGTGTGTGT